TCTCTCTGTGACTGTGAACCCCAGGTATTCACCTCACTATTTCCCACCCAGCTGCTTTCTGGGACTTCATGATCTCCAGAAACCCATCATTCCATAACATGAAAATCACTGTGAGACTCACACCTCCTCAGCACTCCTCTGCTCCCACCTGGATGAGGGCACCTCGCAGACCCTGTTTGAGGGGGGCACACTAGGCATTTATTCGATCATTTCCCACCTGGCTACTTTCCTGGACCTCATGATCTCCAGAAACTCAATTTAAAAGATGAAATCAATTCTGGGACTTTCACTTCCTCAGATTGTTTGCCCCATGGCTATAGGACTTCATGCTAGGTAACCTCCTCTCCTTCCTGCCTCCCCCCACCCCATTTTTCATCTTCTTTTTATATGCTGTCGTCTCTGATTAGATTGTGAGCTCCATGAGGGCAAGGATTGTCTCATGTCTTTTTTCCTAAGCCCAGCACTTAATACAGTGCTTGGAACAGTGCAGGCACGTAAATAAATGTTTATTAGCTAACCCGGAAACTGGCTATAATGAAACAAAGTAAGCCAATTTGGGCCCCCCACTGCAAGGGAGAGTAGGTCAGGAAAGAGGAGAGGCAGGGATACACATGGGGTCTACAACAGTTGTCCTCAAATTATTTCTTTTCACCTGCTTAAAAGTCGTGTCTACCACCCTTATGAAAATCAAAACCGAAAAACAGAAGACCTTAAGGCCCTAAAATTAGGTAGCAAATGAATTTAGAGTTCAGAAAACAGAAGAGCAGGCTGCTAGAGCAGTCTGATAGGAAGACTGGAAAGCAGAATGGAAGCCACCCCCAGGTTAGATGACCATGGAATCCTAGGGGAGAAGACACTGGAAGGCACAAGGTGCCTTTGGTTTTGTAATGCTCAGCCCACAGCATCCATACTTTTCAAGAGAGTTGTCCATTTTTATACCGAATACCCACAAAAAAGAATATCTTCACTTGGACTGAAGTGCCTTAAAAGGAGAAAATACTGAGGGATGTGAAGATAATGGGGTTCTGACTCTGCTTTGTACACATAAGGCTTTTCGCGAAGAATGATTACTGAGAAAAACATTATAAATGGCATAAAGTTAAAAGAATTAATAGTTCTTAGTCATCTTTAGAACATTAAAGGTAAGACAAACAAATGTCTATGGGGGACAAAGAGTAGAATAGTTCATATTATCTAATTAGATAATCACTGAGTTGAAGAGACAGAATTAGAGACTATTTAAAACTTATCCTGTCACTATATAATCCCGCTTTATTACATAAAAAGGGATTTGAAAAACAAAAAGCCCACACAACGCCACACAATTTCCTTGCCTACTATTCGGGGCTGAAGGTGCACTTTGGGTCTACACCACTGAGAAATTAAAATTTATGCAGGTCTATGTTATTTATCAAGCTCTGAGCCTGAGAGCAGCCTAGAAAGCGACGGTGTTGTCAAGCAAAGGAGTCAGTAATGTGGGCATGGCCTCAGCAAAACATTCACCCCAACTGTTAGAAAAGCAACACAGAAAATTAAGTGGGTTCCATGTCACATTCCGAAAATGCCCAAGTCTAAGCTAGGCAAAGCATCTTTTCATTTCAATGCACAGTCTGTATTCCTCATTTCATACAATCTAAATGGATGGTCTGAAAAAGCTGTGCAGTCAGACCCAGGAGGATGACATTCAATTTAGCAACTCCAAGTGCTTGTCCATATCTCGGTGGCAGTTTCATGACACAGACGGCAATGAAACGGAGGGGACGCTGTCCAAATAATGACAGATATCACCCATGTCTCTACTAGCATCCAGGATGGAGTAACTGGGGAAGCTCAGAAGACTGCACTGTAATAAGAAACGACAGTAACATCGAACTGTCAATGTCATTCGATTACAGCTGTACGATGCTGTTTGGCCTTTGCATACAGAGGGATGTTTCTGAACGTTTCTCCATGTCACGTGAATGGCAATAAAGCTCCCTTGACGTTTGGATTTAATTTCTTTTCTTTCCTATCAATTTTAATTTTAGAGAAAGAATAAGCAGGATATAGCACATTTCTGGAGCATTATGCTAATATCAGAATTATAAAATATATTGTGTTTTCTTTAGTCTTGAATTAATATTTGCGGCACGCTGTAAAATCAGACTAAACTATACCATTTTTCACCATGATGTAAATAACTGAGGATGAAACATTCTTAATTACACACACCTCCCTAAACACTCTAAATTTTGTTAAAAGGAAGGTTTTTTCCTTACATATTAACAATTCCTATTTCTCAGGGAGAAAAGTCCCTCGTCTGACAAATCTGAGAGATTGAGATCTGCAGGATACAATGATAAGTAAGATGCAGTCCTGCCCACGAGGAGTTTCCAAGCTACTAGAGGGACGAAGGAGGCTACACAAGTAATTATGATCCGAGGTAGGATGAGCTAAGTGCCATCCATGGAGTGGTCAGGCAAAGCAGAGGGAAGAAGTCTTTGTCTGGGGTGATCGGGAAAGGCTATCTTCTGCAGGGTGGTGCATGTGCGTGCTGCGTGACAGGGCATCATGGGGGGCGGGGGTGAGGGCGGGAAGCACGGGCTGGTGAGCTAGAAGCTCTGTGAGCCATCGGTCTAAAGTCGTCTTGGGAAGCCTCGTGGCCAACAGGAGCCTGACAGCGCCTGCCACTCAAACTCCTTGTGGCATCTGGTCTTCCACTTCTCGATTTCATTTTTGGTGGAAGGAGACTTTCTTTGAAAACAAAACCTTTACCTAAATATTTTTCCCCTTGACATTCTGGTCAGTTGTAAAGAGCCTCCTCGAGTTCCACCTTCCATATTATACTGCGTATGACAGCCGCCCTGGTCTGCTCAGTGCCGCCATTCCATGTGGGAAAGGCCCATGTCTAACTGAATACTGGGCATTTCTCCCAGGCTCCAAAGAGCAGCACAGAGCTCTCCAAAGCTGAGACTTAGGAAATGTTCAAACACCACCACGCCCATGCATGTGGCACCTGAAGGGCTGTAAAGCTCTTTATCCACAGTCTCATTCAAGCCTCCCAAAAGCTCTGTTAACTAAGTGCTGAAGGCACTGTTATCCTCAGTTCCATTTTACAGAGAAAGAAACTGAGGCTCAGAGAAGTAAAGGGACTTGCCCAGAGTCACAAACCTAATGGAGGCCAGGGGCAGCATTTAAACCCAGGTCCTCTAGACTCCAAGGCCAGCACTCCCTGCCTACTTAAACCACAGGGCCTCTGAAACAGATCAAGGACCCAGACATGGCTGTGCTTGCCACTGATAAAGCGCATGAGGCAGAAACCAGTCTTCTGAGAGGGTCTAGAAACCAACCTGACTCCCCAAGGACCCTTGGAGAGCAACAAGGAGCTTCATGGATAGAGATGAAAATGTGCCAACAGGGCAGCAGGAAAAAGTGCCAGACCTGGCACCAGAAGAGCTGTGTTTGTTTGACTGGTTCTGGCATGTGATGGCCCATGAGACACCTGTCAAACTTCTCTGGGCCTTAGGGAGGTGCAGTGAATGATCTCAAGCACGCTTTCAGTTCTAAAGCTTCTGCCTCAGTTCAAACTCACCATCCAGAGAAGGCGCCAAGACCACCTCTTCCCCCACTCGGCAGCTCTGCTGGGAGTGGCGCCTCTGTCCTACTCCAGGCCAGAGCCTAGTGACCACTAGGTAAAGACCCCGAATGCAGGCCAGTGCCTGAGGACATCGCTCCTGTACTCTCAGAAGGTTTCCTGAAGCTCAGACGCTGCCCAGGTCTACTTTCAGAAGAATTAATTGAAAGGTAATCAAGAAAGACTGACTAAGTCTAATCTACAGAATGCCAATGTCAAAGGCATTTTTAAAAACAAGAGGATTCCCTTCTTTAAATAAGAGCTTATCGTTGTAAGTGGATGTTACTCATTATAACATCTAAAAGAGAAGGTGAGGGGCAGCTAAGTGACTCAGTGGATAGAGCTCAGGCCTTGGAGTCAGGAGGACCTGAGTTTCAAATCTGACCTCAGACAACTGACACTTACTAGCTGTGTGACCCTGGGCAAGTCATTTGACCCTGATTGCCTCACCAAAAAAGAAAAAAAAAAAGAGAGAGAGAGAGAGAGAGAGAAGGTACAATCAGCATTTTTTTTTTTTCACAAATTAAGTAATTTGTCAGGAAAGGCACAGGATGATTTTCCTCAAGAGGCAGAAGGTGTTTCTTTGAAAATACATAAACGTTAACAATGAAAATTCTTTCTTGTAACCTCTGAGACATGAGTGTCAGTTAATTCTGAAATCCTGACAGGCTAGGGCACCGTGCTCTGGATGTCTACTACATAAATCCTTAGAAAAATTGCAGATGGGGTTCCTCATACCTATGGTGAAATAAAACATCACAAAAGTACATGAAAGTGGTGGATTAGGCAGCAGTCAACTGCATATTATCTGTATTACCTTAAAAATAAAAACAAGCACCTTTGGTGAAACCATTTAGGTGTCATGGTTTTGTTTTTGTTTTTTTTAATTCAACATATCAACACGAAATCTTAGTCAAAGAAAATAAGAATATGTAAAAGCAGAGGAAATATGAGTCTCAAAAAATCTCATAAATATCCCCTCAACTTGAAAAATCAAACTATTAACATCTTAAAACAAACCCTACTTCCGTTGCAAATTAGTAGAAAGATGAATAAAACCTAACAATGGATAAACAAACAACAATGAGTAAACATTTATTTTCTAATTTCCATCAGCACCTGTGGAAAAGAACACTGCGTTAAGATGGATTTCATTACTGACAAACCTCGAGGTTCTAGGTGAGAAACAGCTCTCGATATCTGACATTTCAAAGGAAAAGACTTCCTTAAAGTCTACTTTAGCAGCTCCAAAAATTTGTCCTAACTGCCAATTATAGCATTGAATGCTGTGGTAAAAAGATGCAAGTGTAGGTTCAGATTTAGTTATCTTTTTTAACTAGCCATTTTCCTTTTTAATAAACAAAATATTCTATTTTTACCAACTTACCTTCCGCCCATCACTTGCATGGCAATTCACATTTAGAGGCGTCAGTAAAGCCATCAGTTTCTCTTCATTACCACTCCTAGAAAAGGAAATCATTCAATCCATTAAAAAAATTAGTTTTATATGGCCATGTACTGGCATTCTTCAGACTAGAAAACAAATCAGCTCTATTTGCTATTATTTCTCCTACGTGGATCTGGATTATTGGTATTTTCCAATGTCATCAGTATTTTTCCAAATAATCCCTCTCATTCCTCCTATTCTAGGATGTCCTAGAGCCCCGGGCTCCGGGCACCTCTGCCACAGAGCTGCACAAAGCCATTTTCTTGATGATCAAAATGAACTTCATACTGCTATCATGTGACCAATAGCATTAGAGCTGGAAAAATAAATAAAATGCTATGAAAAGAAAAAAGCTACTAGTTAAATTTTAAAAGCTCAAAGAACAAAAGAGAGGAATAAGATTTTTTTCTGACTGTGAATATTTGCCATATACTCGCTACTCAGGCTTTCCTTGGAAAAATCTCAAAGAAAAAACATCTTGAAAATAAAGCTTTAAAACCCAGGAACTGACAGAAACATATTCTTAATATGCCATTTGGTTCTAAAACCTGGGCATCTAAGAAACATAAGGCTTCCCGGCACCTTATAAGCCAACCTAATTAATAATGCTTATAACCAACACCATATTGAAAGATCATTTCATTAACCATCCTTACCCACTTATAACAAAGACAAAGTCTACAGAGCTGCACTGGCCAATCTAGCCACATTATCTCACCCGGTCAAAGCAAGACAGTGACAGCATGAAATGTACATAGCCCCCCACCCCCGTTTTCCTTTCAAATGCATCATACTCACTTAAACCCAATGACATTACGTACCTAGCCGCTTCCAGGAGTTCGTCCTTCTTGTATTCACCTAAATGATTACAAAATATCATGCTGTTAGCATTGGGCAGAAGACAGAGGAAGAAACGCAGCAGGCAGCAAATGCAGAATTCAACAGAGGAAGAACGGGAGAGAAAAAAAAAAAAAAGAGTCCACACCCCGCTGGGTGATGGAGCCGTGACGTGAGCCAGCTCGGGAAGCAGGCAGCATCACCGGCGCCTTGGAGACCGGCAGCAAATTGACGCAGCTTCTTGTCCAATCCTCTGATGGAATGGCTGGCTTCAGACAACCAATGAATGTGCAATCTTGGACCCCGAAACACATTCCCCTCTGCTAACAGCAGGCCAGCGGAAGACAAGGTCCCTTCCCCCCCTCTATTCAGCCTGTCATACTAGACTCGTGGAGCATAATCAATTCCGAGGCAAAAGCCAAACAGGGCAGCTCTTTACAGGGACGAATCACAACCGTCTTCAAAACTCTCCCTTCCTTACCTCCCCCCCAAACACACTCCTGATTTATTTGGAAGGACAAAGAAAGTTTGTTTAACGTGGTTGCTCTGTAACTGACCATGCTGGGGCTTCAGAGTCCCTAAGTAAACTGCAAATAGCAGAAGCAGAGAAGTCTTTGCATCCACAGAGAGGCTGGGTCTGTGGCAGAAAAATCCAGGGAAACATGCACAGAATGGGATGATCGTTTTCTAAGGGTCCCAGCAAACACAGGGATTGTTTGGCAGATGGCACCAAATGTCCTCCTTCCCTTCCTGGGTTCTAATGGAGGACACCTAGCACAATCTGGGGGTGGGTGCGGGCAATCCTTCAACAAACCCAACCCAATCCAACAGAGAGAGCAGGGTGCTCGATTACCTGGGAAGGCACCACGGCCTTCCAGCTGAGAGATTCTGGTCCAGTGATTTTTCTCATCACACAGAAGAATGGATTTTTGAATTCACCATAATAATTTTAGCACCTCAATAGCCAAATTGTTAGGGGATTCAAACCACCAGGTTTCTTTTGTGATGTCAAGTGAAGGACAAAGGATTTTTAAAAATGCAGCACTTGAGAAGTGAGAAGGACTAGCCTGTGACTCAGCATTAATACGCTGCCTCAGTTTGTTACATCTTAAAGCAAAAATGACCCCCCCCAAAAGACAGCATTTTTAAAACTCACTTAAGAAGAAAACATCAGCAAAAGCTAAGGCTATTTTATTCTAAAACAAAAACAAAAACAAAACAAAACAAAAACCAATAGTTTCAAGAGAAGTTATTTTGTTCAAAATATGTACCCATTTATCTCCAGACTCCTCCATGTTTTGCTCGAGGACTACAGCAAACGAGCGCCCCACCCACATGGCCAGATCCCATTACTCACTGGCCAGGCATCAGTCTGCCCTTGGCTGTGTGCTGCCACAAGACTAAGATTAGTTTGAGACTATGGAACTCTAGCTATAGGCTTTCATATTTTTAAAAGAGCAGTTATCAAAGTCATTTAAATAAACGTATGGCCCAAACGAACAATTTAGTGTGATATGCCCAGACAGATCTACGTTCAACGATGGCCATGGACCACATGGATTACGGAGATTTCACGGACAGACCAGCTGTTCTTTCAAATCCCTTCAACATGGTACAGAAGTTTTAAGTCTAGCCACTAGCTGAAAGTCTAGCCACTAGCTGAGTTCAGAATGCAGAGCAGCCTCATTATAAGGATACAAAAGCATGATCACAACATCTAAAGCTGAATCTACTAGATTCAGGTAGTCTTGACTCAGGTCTACAGGTAGATTTCATGGGGTCAAAGAACTTGGATGGGAAAATGTTTTTATCTGTTTCCATATAAATTGGTTTTTTAAAATAAAACCATGTGTTTTATTTTATGCATTTAAAACCATCAGTCTGAGAAAGGCTCCATATGCCTCACCAAACTGCAAAAGGGGTCCAAGACAAAAAAAGACTGAGAAGGCTTGATCCAGCCCAATTTCATCATTCTATAGATGAGGAACCTGAGATCCCCAAAAGGGATATGGGCTGCTTAAAATACCACATGTGTTAAGATGGCAGAATCTGAACTCATCTGCTCTGACGGCTAAGCCCAGTGCTATAAATTGCATAAATTAAAAGGCCCTTCCTGAAAACCAGACACAACTTTAATGAAGCAATCAGGCCTGATTTGAAACCTACAACCTAAATCTGTTTTAACAGAGTTTAAAGATTTCAGCTGACAATGCTAGAGGAAAACAGCCACCCCATCATGATTGCTGGGGTAGAATAATGCTAATATAAACTAAGCAAAATTAGAAATACTGCCATGCAATATACAACAGAGTATATACATTTCCACTGTGTAGGTGCTTGTGTTTACAAACAAAGTCCCTCTGAGCTTAACACAGCTTGTGTTGTAAGCTAGTAATGACGTCACTAGATAGGAAATGGATCCCAAAGAGTGAATGGGAGGGAATCAGGGCGCATACTTATAGATCCTGGCGTCATCTAGGATACTGGATCCCCTAATTCACACAATTTCATCCAGAAGCTCCATTCAAAGCATCCATCACAACGTGTCAACCTGATCAAGAAGCACTGTCCACACATGCAGCTGTTGTTTTTTAGAAAGCAAGCAAAAAACTCTAAGCTTTCACAGAGCATGCATAGGTGTTAAAATGACTCTTTGTTCATTGTCTTCCGCACTCTAGTTTTTCATCAGCATCTCTGCAATCCACTCCAACATCCACTGTCTGGTGCCCAAGGACCACCATCTGTAAACAGCAAGAACTATTTTTCACACATCACATTTCAGGAACCAGAAGCATAATGAATTCAAGGCCGCTCACACACTGACAAGAAAGCTGACCAACTTATTTTAATCACTCAACCTCCAGCTTTTTCCTGTTTGCTGAGGATCTGAAAACATTCTGGCTACAACTATGATGCTCTGTGGAGCATTTACATTCTGTAATAACACCCAGATAAAGACTCGCAATAGATCAGCCAGGGAGGAAACTAGGCAATTACAGTCAAGATAATAGCATCCAGGAATGGTGAAAATAAATGGCTTAAAATATTTTTATTTGATTAGAGGAAACTAAGTGGGATGAAAAAATGAAGTAGCCCCCCCCCCCAAAAAAGGTTACAAATTCCCATGCTAACTCTCCACAAAGTTTGAACTGCTTTTACTGCTCAAATAGATGAGGAGAGAGATGTGAAAGGAACTGTACATGTATTTGTTCTAACTTTGTTCTAGGGCTGGGGACACACAAACCACACAGTCTGTCCTCAAGGAGCATCTGTTCTTCTGTGTAAACAGTGCATACACAATGTGTACAGAAGGCATGCAAGGTAATGGAAGGGAGGGGGAAGCAGAAGGACGGCACCAGACCCGGGGACATCAGAAAAATAACCCTCCGGCCAGGGCCCCTGAGCTGGGCACTGAAGAAAGCCAGGCGGGAAAGCCTGGAGGGCTGAGAAGAAACACTGAGAACCAGTGGGCCTCTTCAACCTGAACAGTGTGAGTGTGTGTGCGTGCGTGTGTGTGCCCACACACACACCAGTGTTTGAGAGAAGTCAAAGCTAGTGTGTGAGAGGTCTATAAAGACCAGCTGCCCAGACTTTCTTTGACCCTACATACATTTGGGAGCCACTGACCCTTAAACAAGGGAGTGACGTGGTCAGACTTGTGATATAAGGATAGAATTTTGCCACTAGGAGGAGGCTAGCTTGGAGAAAGGAGGCAGGAAGACCAATGAGGCGTACCAGTCCCCGCAAGAGTGAGCAGAGACTGAACGAGGGTGCTGGCCTTGTGAAGGAGAGAGAAGGAAGAATGCTACAGAGGTGGAATCAAAGGCAGAAAACTTGGAAAGTCATTGGATATGGGGGTTTGAGAAGGATGAGGGAGAGTGAATAATGGTTGATAGACTACAAGGTTCTGAACCTGAGTAAAGAATGATCTGAATAATTCTTAGGGAAATATGGTAGCACAGCAGATAGAGCTCTGGGCCTCAAGTCAAATACACTCTCTGGCACTGCTGATTAACCTCTGTCTGCCTCAATTTCCACATCTATAAAATAGGGATAATATAGCACTTACCATCAGGGTCATCAGGAGAATCAAAGGATACGATACCTGTAACGTGTTTTACAAACCTTAAATCTATACAGCAATGCTAGTGACCGTTATAACTATCTTAATATTACCATTGGAACTACCATCCCCTCAAGCTACCATTCATTCTCTCTCTCCTCTCTCCTCCCCCTCTACCACCAGATTCTTAGGAATTATTTATGTTTGTTGCTTTTGCTTTCTCTTCCTTAGGTCATTTCTCACACAATCCATTACAATCTGGCTTCCAACTTCACAAACTACATTTTCTCCAAAGTAAGTGTTGATCTCATTGCCAGATCTAATGGCCTTTTTTTAAATCCCCTTCCTTCTTGCAGCATCTGACACTACTGACCACCCCTGACATAGCCATCAGGGCACAGTGAACACGAAGTCGGCCTCAGAACCAGACACGCAGATAGTGGCCATGTCCTTAGGGTAAATCACTTAACTTCTCTTTGTTCTAGGCAACTCTCTAGGACTGTGAGTTACAGAGAAAGTATTGACCTATATTGGTAGAAGATGCTTTCCTTATCCTGGTGGGTCCTTCTACCATTGAAATGACAAGTCCAGTCACTATCCTATTTGGTGATGAGATCTGAACCCATGGGAGTTGATGAGATCACTAAAAGGAAAAAAAAAAGGGGGGGAAGGTGCGCTCAGGAAAGAATCCTGAGGTATATCCACACAAAGAAGCAAGAGAGGGATAATAATATAGAAAGAAACTGAACAATAGTCAAACAGCTATAGGAAAACTGAGACCATTATGTAAAAGAAGCCAATTTATCGGGATACAAATAAATAAAACCAAGAGCCATTCCCCCATGGATAAATAGTCAAAGGATATGAACAAACAGTTCTCCAAAGAAAGAATTACAAACTAGTAACAACTATATGAAAGATTGGCCCAGATTACTAATAAAAATACAAGTCAAAGCAA